TTTTTCTTCGGCTTCGGGTTTACATGACTTATCAAATCCTTCTCAAAGGCTAGTCCAGCCTATATGTGCGGAAAAGAATGATATCAGCTAGACATGCATTACTACATACACCTTATCTTTTCCCGTCTAAACACATCCACCTTATCTTGAGACCCCAATTTCGGTTGTTTTTTTTTTCACTGAAAACAGTACTTAACAACCGGAAGCGAATATCGCGTTACACCGACGAAGTTTCTAGCCCCTAGAGGCGAATTGGTGTACTACATACGTTATTGAAACTGTCCATATCTCAGTAGATTGCCGGCGATTCCTCAAAAATATTTTTGGATTTACTGCGACATGATGAATTTCCCAACTTAGTACAACAATTTTTAGTAACCTTGACTGTATGATATATATGATTTTCTGTTGAAGTTCTATGAAGCCCACCTCATTGGGTCTCATCAACTAACTTATAACCGTAATAACCCGGACTGATCCTCAATCCTGGTTTTACAGGAAGCCAGGGAAAAAGCTGCAGTTACATAAACTTCATGGCCGGGTTGGCTCATTGAAACATTAATTAATTCACCAAAACAAGCTATGTAAATACTGAAAGGCAAATGACCTTTCTCGGAGAAAATCAGAGTGATATGTATGACCAGGCAAAGATCGGTTGGCAAAGTCTACATTGAAATTATCAACAACGTTACTACCCATCAGCGCGATTAGGTCAAAAGCGATCGTAAGTTAACAAGTGTCACAAAGTACCTTTTCTTTCCTGAAGCGCTCAGCAATAGCCTTTCCCAGTGACATTTCTACATATTGAGCAAGCTGAAAGAAAATTACACTTCAATTACTAAGGACTGTTTTTGCCGCCTTAATAAAACGGTTAAAATGAAAAAACAGACCGAGAGCCTACCTCGTTACAGGACACCTGCACGTCCGCCATCGTGATCAACAATGATGCTTGCGCAAGGCCTGGTGACGATTTCACAACCATTTCGCAATACAACTCCCATTTTCACAAACTCCCATTTTCGAAAAAACAAACTCCCACTTTCGGAAAACAAACTCCCATTTTCGTAAAGCAAACTCCCACTTTCGTGAAACAAACTCCCATTTTCGAAAAAACAAACTCCCATTTTCGAAAACACAAACTCCCATTTTCGAAAAAACAAACTCC